TTGTAATGATATGGCTGAAACAATGAACCACAGATATGAGTGAGTTTTAGTAGTTTTCAGATTCAACTGACTCAATATACTTAACCATTTCAAGTTTCTGCAGGTACACGTTTACAGTCAGAAAATAACTAGAAAGAGTTCAGAGCCTTAAAGTGGGCAAAGAATAAATCATTAGGTCCAGAATTTGTGATATTTTTAAGAATTATATGTTTAATCTGTTATTAATGTTTCAGTGAATATATTACTGCCTATATTTTATGCATACATTTAAGTACGGAAAAAAATACTGTCACAGAATTAAGACATATTTTTTATTCTGAAAATATTCGGTGTTTGGATGAAAATAAATGCTTCATAAATTAAGTTTAGAGAGGTAAAGTTGAGATATTTCTATTTACTCTATTTTTCCTTTGGGTGTTTGTCTTTTATACAGAACCCAATATTTGTAAAGTAGTTATTTGAAGAAAATAAGCACCTATATTTACCTGAGTAACAAATAATTTTTGGTGGTAGTTTTAGTAAGGATATAAGAATTCTGATATATTGGATAGCATAAGAAATATTGTGTTAGACCTCTAATTTCCCTATATTTCTGGGAAATCATGTTTGTTATTTTAACTTTTAATAGAGTGATTGAGTTAATTAAAATTCCTAGGTTTCTGATAGACTGATATTGGTACACTCATTTTTGCCCTTATTCAACTCTATGACTAGTTCAGACCTTAAAGTGGGCAAAGAATAAATCATTTGGTCCAGAATTTGTGATATTTTTAAGAATTATATGTTTAATCTGTTATTAATGTTTCAATGAATATATTACTGCCTTTATTTTATGCATACATTTAAGTAAGGAAAAAATACTCTCACAGAATTAAGGCATATTTTTTATTCTGAAAATATTCGGTGTTTGGATGAAAATAAATGCTTCATAAATTAAGTTTGGAGAGGTAAAGTTGAGATATTTTTATTTACTCTATTTTTCCTTTGGGTGTTTGTCCTTTATACAGAACCCAATATTTGTAAAGTTTTGAAGAAACTTTGAAGAAAATAAGCACCTACATTTACCTGAGTAACAAAGAATTTTTGGTAGTAGTTTTAGTAAGGATATAAGAATTCTGATATATTGGATAGCATAGAAATATTGTGTTAGACCTCTAATTTCCCTGTATTTCTGGGAAATCATGTTTGTTATTTTAACTTTTAATAGAGTGATTGAGTTAATTAAAATTCCTAGGTTTCTGATAGACTGATATTGGTACACTCATTTTTGCCCTTATTCAACTCTACAACTTCATTTCTTCCATCTACTTCCTTTCCTTTTCTTCCAAAAGTAGCTAATTTAATGTAATACATCTTTGCAAATGTGCATATGTGTGTTTTTAATATAAAAGGACTTTCTCCTCAAGCAGGTAGGTATGGGGGATTTTTTTTTTTTAATTTAAAATATTGACTGCTGTTTTAAAATTCTTCCAAATTTGTCAAATAAATAAACTTATGTAATGTAAAATATTTAGCCCATTTTTCTTAGCTTGTTAGGAAATGGGATAATTTTTTAGTATGTGGTAATACATCTTTCTAAACAATTTTGAAATCCATTTTCTACAGAATTGTCTTAGAGTGATGCTGTCTAATAAAATTTTCTCTAATGATTGAAATTTCTATAATAAATGCTAGCCATACATGTGCATGTGAAATGTGACTTGTACAACTGAAAAGTGAATTTTTACTTAATTTAATTTTAATTTTAATAGTCATAGTTGAGTAGAACAGACATAATATAGGTTGTTTAAAATATATGTATATATTATTCACATTTAATTTCTGATAGATGCATTACAAAAGAAGAAGTACATAATGTAAAATATTAATTTTATGTCAGAAGTCCAGCAGGATGCTGTGTACTGTGATAATAAACTAATCAGTAAAAGGAAGAGCTTGATATAAATTAATACTTGGCTAATTTTTCTTTGGACTATATTCAGTAATACATTTTCAATCAAATATATTATACACTGCTTCATAGTCTATTAACCTATGAACTGTTCAATATTCTTCATGTTTGACCAAGAAAACATTCCTACACATACATATACAAACAATGCACTGACTACAAAATGTGTTTATAAAATGCTTGAAAAATTTTGGCAATTATCAGTTAGAGAAAGGTCAGTCTTAGTTTTCCATACCAGAAAAGCTAGGAATGTCTATGCAACGGATCTGATTAATTCAATAGAATATTTTTACCTCCTGGAAGAAACTGGAAAAGTCTTTTCTGAACACCCTAAATCTTATGCCAAGTGTGCCAATCAGCACACTTCTGAACAAACATCAACATGGTTGATTTTGAGAAACACACTATCAACTGATTAGTTACAAACAAGTTGAAAAATGATTTGGCCTTTTTGTATTTGGGGATTAGTTATCAACATGTTTTTTCCTTTTGTAAACACAAAGTTTTGGATGTTCTTTACAGAAAACCTGAAAAAGCAAAATAACAGAAAGAAAATAAGCATACATACTTGTGTATATGAAATTTTCCTCTCCTTGTTTCAGGCTAATGCATATAAAAACTGAATATTAAAGGTAAATTATTCTGACCCAGGATTAGATGGGTTAAGCATAATTCTTTTGCTATGTAGTCTTATGGGATACCATTTAGCATTATTAAATTTGCTGTGAGACTGTTTGAAGAACTATTTTTGTAAGTGGTTCAGGAATCTACAAATGGAAAAATGGCTATACAGTAAATTATCATTGGAATTTAGGTTCTTACTGGCTGAAATTTGGCACAAGTATCAGCATTTCTGGCAATTCTCATGAAATTTTTGTAATCTAAAATAAATTGAAAAAAATGCCATAAAATCACTTTCTAATATTTCATGAATGGCTCTGCATGCCTTGTTGAAAGTGAAAGTCACTCAGTCGTGTTGGACACCAGGGTTTTCTGCATTGCAGGCAGATTCTTGACCAACTGAGCTATCAGGGAAGTGTGCATGCCTTGTTAGTGAAGACATGTAAACTCCAATTTTCTAATAGTCCTGATAAAAATATTATTTGCCATTCAAATATTAAGTTATCCTACCTATTTATATACCCTTGTTTACCAGTCTCTCAGTGCAATGAGCAAATCACTGAAACAATGTTAAAAATATCTTCTCTAAGCAAATCTTCAGAGGTTCTCATCACTGAGTAGTTATAGGAAAGGGGTAGGGCGCATCTCTCCTTATTTGGTTAAAGTGAGAATTTTAAGTTTCTCCCTTCTTTGAGTATCAGATGTATCCATTCATCCTTTCTTTATCTGTCTAATAACACTTGATTAAGTATCTACTATGTAAGAGATGTTGTGACAGGTATTAGGAGGGCATAGTTAGCAAGCTATGGTACCACCTTAGGCAATTCAGTCTACTAGAGAATAGAGCTGCAAAAATGTATAAAGTACCGAGTGTTATATGTCTAAGCCATGTGTGTAGTGGAGGGTTGTAGAAAAGTTATATTGGCTGGCAATGTTGAAGGTAGAGAAATACGTTTTATAGCAGGCATCTTGAATGTATGGTGGCACATCTTTTTAATCTATATTAGGTCACAATGATGGGTTTGTAGGGAGAAAGGAATTGGTGGGTGGTGAGATATCAGAGTGATTACTCTGAAGTGACTAGTGTGGAAGAGTTTGATATTTTGTTAAAATCTTTTTGGATGTACTCTGCAGATGGATATGCCTACTGGGTGATTTTAATAAAATTGTTATATTATGAAACTTGGGTTCTGGAAATATCTTTTCTAGTGTTTTATGAAAGATGAGAAAGGTCTTTATTAGGTTCTGTGAGAGGTGTGAAAGGGCAGTTGGTGACATAACATTTTGTGTTGGGTGTGTTAACCGAACTCAGGTCAGCCAGACCTGAGTTTGGCTGCACATGTTGGTGGAAAGGGCTTCCTAGGTGGCGCTAGTGGTAAATAACCTGGCTGCTAATGCAGGAGACAAAGAGACATGGGTTTGATCAGGAAGGGTTTGATGCTGGGTCAGGAAGATCCCTGGAGGAAGGCATGGCAACCCACTCCAGTATCCTTGCTTGGAGAAACCCATGGACAAAGGAGCCTGGTGGGCTACAGTCCATAGGGTCACAAAGAGACAGACATGACTGAACCTTAGTAGAAAGGAAAACAACACTTTTAATCAGAAAGCGGGCAATCTGGGGAGAAGGTGAACTAGCTGTCCCCAGGCCCCCTACCCCCAAATCAACTCCAAAGATTCTGCTTGGCTGTGAAAGTTTTTAAAGAAAAAGAGAAATAATCCTAGTTAATCATTGAGGTAGGGGGGTCAGAGTCATAGCCATTCCCCACTTTGTGCAGGCTTGTCGACTTCCTGTGATCTTTCTTTAGATGCTATCTTGTTCACACAGTTTGTGAGATTACTGAAGGAGAAACTAGGGAAGAGATCTGGTCCTCTGATAATTACTTATTCTTCATTTCTGCCTCTTTGATCTATGGGAAGAACCAACAGGTTAGGCACAATATTACGCTGACACATATACACTACCAAGTGTAAAATGTTAATTGATAGCTAGTGGGAAGTTGTTGTATAACTCAGGGAACTCAGCTTGGTGTTTGGTGTTGACCTAGAGGGGTGGGATGGGGGAATGTGAGGGAAGCTGGAGAGAAGGGATATATGTATACATAGAGCTGATTCACTTAATTGTATAGCAGCAGTGAATAACACGGTAAAGCAATTCTTCTCCAATTAATAAAACAAAAGATTTGAAAGGTGTTCTTGGGCCAGAGATGAGTAGAGCATGGAGACAGTTGATTTAAAAGTTTGCTACTGTTGAGCTTTTTGAAATTGACAAGAAAAGGGATTTCCTGCTGAGGGTGGTTTCCTGTAAAGAGCTGATTACAGTAGAAGGAAGAACATAAGAGGTTTGAATTGGAGTATTAACAATGACATGGTGAACAGATGCAATGAACAATAACCAAAGCATTAATTCATACCATTCTCCTCCCTTATCTCTTTCTCTCTCTTTCTCCTTTGCTCCTTACAAAACTTTCTCCAGAGCTATCAGGCACATTTACTCCTTTGCAATGGCTTATTTGTTTTGCATTTATTCTCTGTTCTTATATAGCTGGAACAATAATTAAGTAGAAATAAACACAATTTGCAAGAATCTCTCTTTTTTGTTTTTTTTTACTTCATTAATAATACCAGTATAACACAATTCTTCTGAGACACAAACATCCCAACAGCAATCATATTACCTTCTCAAAAAGTCTAACTGATGTTTGCAATTGCTTGTTTGGTTTGATCTGTTTCTATCATGATGACATAGCATCATATGATAGTTTTTCAGATGGCCACTGCATACCATTATCAAGGTAGCCAGTTACACTCTCTTATACCTTTTTCATGTTGTGGGAACATTCTACTAATTTGCTACATTTTATTTCAATATCTGTACGAGTTATGATCCACACACTTTACCAAAAGAGATTTTCTCAGCCAAGTTGTCAGTTAACAGCTTTCTGATTTTCTTGAGCTATATTTCTTTTTTTATTCCTCTTTTTCCCTTTATAGTTAATAACTAAGAAAATATACAAGTTGTTAAGTGATATTGATGTAGTAAAACCCCAACTTTCTATTCAAAATTTGTTTTCCCTCTTTATTGATGTGCTTCCCAGGTAGCTCAGCTGGTATAGAATCTGCCTGCAATGCAGGAGACCTGGGTTCGATCCCTGGGTTGGGAAGATCCCCTGGAGAAAGAAACAGCAACCCACTCCAGTATTCTTGCCTGGAGAATCCCCATGGACAGAGCAACTGGTGGGCTACACTCCATGGCGTTGCAAAGAGTCAGACACAATTCAAAACTGCTTTCCCTCTTTATTTGTAAATAAGAAAATTTCTGATATTAAAAAGAAATTACATTTAAAAGCAAAGCTCATTGTAAATACATGATATTAAATCTAGAATTGGCTTCTACCCATTTGTTTCCAGAAGTCTCTAGGGAAGAACTAGTATTTATTAGATATTACAGAAAATAATTTTTTGAATATTGAAATAATACATATCACATTTATTTTGTGTATATCAAGTCTAAGTTTAGAGGGTTAGAATGACCAGCACACCATGAAATAGTAACTATCAAAAAATGTTCCCTGAGTCTAAAGTCAGTTATATTTCATTAAAATATAATTTTCCAATATATTTCATTTCAATCAGCTGATTTGGAATTTGTAAGTTTTAGTACAGATATAGGAGATTTACAGTCATATTGATTTAAGGTGTGATTCACCCACAGGAATTTATATTAAGAGGTAATAGATGAGTTTCCTATCACATTCTATTATTGTTGGAAAATATTTAACAAGGAAATAACCAAAAGTGAATAATAATTTTATACTACATATTTTCAGAGTGGAATTAGGTAACTTGATGAGCAGAAAGTAGCAAAGAAAATATTTAATCTTAATTACAGCTACAAAATAAAAATACTTTGTGTCATTGCTTGGTAAGAATTTCATTCACTAAAGCTTTCCAAACAAAGAATAATTCCCAGTAAAATGAGAGCTCATGATATTGGAAGAAGCATACTGGGAAATTATTGTGTGAAAGTATTAAAAGATAGATTTCAAAGTGGGTAGCTTAGAACTCAAACTATTCAGCTTAGAAATCAATTTAAGGAGATCTTGCTTAAATAGATTGATATGCCAAATCATCTCACCTTAAGGATGTGATAGTAGATTCTCAGAAATTTGAGGTGATGTTCTTGGCAATGAATCATCAGGATCCCAAAAGTAATTCATCTCTTACTTTGAATTAGTTTTATATTTCAGTGATGGAGAAATCTCTTTCTAAAGTTGAACCATTGTATTTTGGAGTCAGTTCTATAAAGATATGACCCAAGGGCATCTGCCAATATTTTTTCCTTGTAGCTTCCACTTTAAGATCTTAATTCTGCCCTCTAAGTAAATGAAGGTTAATTTTAAACCCACACCCTCGGTATCAAAACTCATCAAAATTTGGAAATTCCAAGGATCCTGTAAAAGTCCTGATAATTTTAAACCATTTTATTGCAGCCCTTCCAAATTACTTCTTATTCAGGTTAAAGATCCTTAGATCTTTCAACTACTATTTTAAAATCTCTTTTCCATTCTGGATATACTACTCTGAATAGATTTCAGTTTTTCTCTAAGCAGAGTTGCTGCATCTGGAATTTAAAACTATATCCATGGATTTGCATGTTGTTAGAGTAGGACTGTTTTCTTCCTGTCATAAATTATCTAAGTCTACAGAGAAAGTGTTACATTGACCTGTTTATTTATAAACAGACCACTCTCAAGTCCCCATCAGAAGCAGTCATAGGAATTATGTTGGTAAGGAACAAGTAAGTTATCAGATAAGGCTAAGGGACTCAAACTGTAAAACAGATGTAATAAATGACAGAAAGAAAGCACATGCAATATTAAGAACTATGAATTATAACTCAGGATACCCATGTTTTATTCTAAACTCTGTCACAAACTTATGTGCCCTTGGGCAAGTCACTTAACTTTCCAGCCTCTATAAAATGAGGTTTAGAAAGATCAGTGACTCTTAGTCAAATAAATACTGGTGAATCCCTGTGGGCAGTGAAACATATTAATACTAAAGGGAAGATGTTTGCATTAGTGCCGCAGTAGAGTATTGTGATGGGAAATACTGGATTGGATAATCTTTAAATCCTTAACAATCCTGGCTTTTATTTAGAATTTTCTTTTCCAGATTCTTCATCAAACATTTTCAACCTACATTTCCCTGAACACCTGTATCTGGTGATAGATTAGTATGTATTTTTCAGATGATTTCAGTTGAAAAACAATTTTGTTATGCTTCACATGCTCTACCCACCCCTTGGAATTTAGATGCTCTGCATAAAGGAACCTCATCGCTACTATTCTCAGTGGTGGTGTTCTCACAGAATTGTTCACATCACGTCATCACACTAGACACCACGTGTTTTGATTTCACGCCTTCTATGTGGTCAGGCCACTCAAGATGGCTGTTCACCAGCTCCCTTGCTCCATCCCCTGCCCGAGCTGTGCCTACTTCAGCGAAATGCTAAGCACACGGACCTTCCTGCATGATTGCCCCAGGCCCCGGCTGGCGCTTGTTCTCATCAAAGGGGCAGTGAGCTGCCCCAGCCTCTGCTGGTTTCCCTGGTAACTAAAGAGCTCACGTGACATCAATTCCCCACTAGCTGGTATCCTCCCCTTACCCACTGACCCAGGGAGTGAAGGTGGCTACCGCATCCTGCCTGCAGTCTGCGGCACACAGTCGGGTGTCTCTCTAGGACCCTGCTTCAGATGTGTGAGAGTGAAAGTCTGAAAGTTGCTCAGTCGTGTCCGACCCTCTGCGACCCCACAGACTATACAGTCCATGCAATTCTCCAGGCCAAAATACTGGAGTGGGTAACCTTTCCCTTCTCTAGGGGATCTTCCCTACCCAGGGATCGAACGCAGGTCTCCCGCATTGCAGGTGGATTCTATACCAGCTGAGCCACAAGGGAAGCCCAGGAATACTGGAGTGGATAGCCTATCCCTTCTCCAGCGGATCTTCCCAATCCAGGAATCCAACTGAAGTCTCCCTCATTGCAGGCGGATTCTTTACCAACTGAGCTATCAGGGAAACTTCAGATGTGTAAGTTCCCCCATTCTTTAAACCACTGATGTCTGTGTTGCTGACTCTGAGGCTCTTTTTCAGTCTCAAGTCGGGGCCAACACAGGCCTCGTAGGTCTGCAGGGTGCAACCCAACAATTGGCGGAGCAGTCAGGGCGCCGAGGGAACCCCCATGAGTGTGGAGAGATGGGGAAATATAGGCTGGAAATGGAAAATTGCAGGTTCTGTCCGCTAGCGAGTGGGGCCCAAAAGTTTCAGGGGTGATCCCGAAAGTTGCTGGGGAAATCCTGGGATGGCTATCTACGAGTGTGGGAAGTCTTCGGTGCCCTGTGGTGGCTGGCTGTGGTTAATGGAGGCTGCCAGGAGATCCGGAGAACAGTGGCTTCTAGTGTCTCTGCCACTGTGTCAAAGTGGGCCTTCTGTAAGTGGCTAAGCTAGCTTTCTAGAAGGAATTGATATTTCTTTTGTGCCTTTGAGATGTGAATGATCTGGCTTCTCTGGAACTTTAATCTGTGATTTCTAAGTGTAAAGGAGGAAGAAAAAAAGGAGATTTTAAATAAACTTTATAGAATAATTATGTCTATCTAAAAGAATATGTCCAGATTTTTGTAGCTTGAAATTAAATGAAGAGAATTCATGACCATCTGGGTCATTTCAAATAGGATACAGTACTGAAATATTGAGGCTTCCTCGGTGGCTCAGTGGTAAAGAATCCACCTGCAATGCAGGAGACACAGGATTGGGAAGTTCCCCTGGAGAAGGAAATGGCAATCCACTTCTTGCTTGAAGAATTCCATGGACAGAGGAGCCTGAAGGGCTGCAGTCCATGGGGCTGAAAAGAGTCAGACATGACTGTGTACTAAGCACATACACATGTTGAAATATTAATTGCTGAGCTGGGTCTCACTTTACCTGCCTTTGCCTGCTTAGGAGAGAAAGCCTGTAGCATTATGTTTCCCAATCGGGAAACACACAACTACTTGCTCCTTGGTTTTTGCCTAGGATTAAGGTTTTCAAGAGTTAAGATTTTAATACATCATAGTTCTTGTAACCAAGTTTTTTTTTTTTTTTTAATTATGTTGTGATTTGATGTCTAACCATGCCTTTTTAAGTCTGTCTGTCATTGAAAGAAAGCTATTGTACTCAGGGTCTTCTCTGGTAGCTCAGCTGGTAAAGAATCCGCCAGCAATGCGGGAGACCCCGGTTTGACTTCTGGGTTGGGAAGATCTCCTGGAGGAGGAAATGGCAACCCACTCCAGTATTCTTGCCTGGAGAATCCCATGGACAGAGGAGCCTGGTGGGCTACAGTTCATGGGGTCACAAAGAATCTGGCATGACTAAGCAACTAACCACAGCACAGCATTTTACTCAGAGGCTCTTGCAAAAGGGCTTCATCTATAAGAAGATTCTCAGGAAGGGCATTTTGACAATAATAAGTTAACAAAAGGATTAGTTACTGAGTGAACCAGTGACTATGGTTGTGATCTCTATGGGTTTTATCTGGAATGCTACTGGTTTTGATCTGTGTTCTCCAGGTATAGAGGAGCCCATCCTCTTAAGTCGATTTTGATTTATAGCAGTTTGGTCAACTCTACCTGTGAATGGAATTGAAGCATTTCCTTTTTCTTTCTCTCTGGTCTAGAAAGTGGAAACTCTTGGGTTCTGAGCAACTTTATCAGGGGATTGGAAAAGACTGTCTCCTGGCATGTGCTGGCATCTCAATGTTTTGGGGACTTCTAGAAGAGAAAAACCCACCAAGGCAGAGCCTTCTGGCAAACCTTTGGCCTGGCTTTCCTGGACTTGAGGCCTTTTGGGAATTCAGTCTGAGACTCCTGAGGACTCACCCCTCAGCTAGTTTGGAGGCACGTACATGGTCAATCCACGGGACCTGTTTTGCAAGCAAAATTAGTTTTGATTGGCTGTGTTTGGTAGATTTGAGAGAACATTGTTATGTTTCAATGGGTGTTAAATTCTAGTTCATTAATTGAGGTCTATATGTATGAAAATTCTTTTGTTAGCGATACTTTTGTCCAGGAAAAGAAAATTATCTAGTGCAGTTATCACAGAGTATAACTACTCATGGTGTGTGACACTGCTTGCTCTAAATTGCTGCTAAAAGCACATGTACAGTGCTTGGGTGACAGTTGGGTATAAGTGATAAAATGTGTGGCCTATAGCGTATCACCCTTTACCATATCTGTCAGTAAACATTATCATGTAACTGCCTGCCACTGAAGCCCCCCGGGCTCTGCCGTGTGGAGTGGAATAGGCAGTCTTCCCAACACACAAGTCCAGCTCATGGAATTAACTTTTTTTGTCTGTTTGTTTGGAAAGACCTAATGGGTCCACCCCTAAAGGCACCCAACATAACGTGGGGTGGCAGATCTGTACTGTGACTGCTGACTCCTGGCTAGGCCACCAGAATGCTTCTTTTAAAGCCAAGCCTCCCTCACCCTGTGGGAGTGGCTCTGGCTTTGTGGAAACCTGGGCTGGCCTTACCTTCCTTAAAATGGACAGGTCACTGCTGCTATTGATTCCCTTTCCACTGACCCAGCAAGCGCTTGGCTCTAAATTTGCCCACATCCTGGCAAATAACTGTTCTGAGCAAACTGTGTGTCTTACCCTTGATGCCCTTTGGCTGCTGTTCGCTGTATTGTATCTGTGGTATCTGCTTGCAGCGCCCCCTTTCACCTGACCCCAGGGGTATGGAGGAGGGGCATGCTGAAGTTGTCAGGGTTGTGCAGGGTACGTAGGGGTGGGGTGTACGATCAGGCCACTCAACATGGCTGTCCTCAACTTCTCTGTATGTTTCCTGCCTGACCAGTGCCTGCTTCACCTAAACCCCAAGCACATGGCTGATCTTCCTACGTACTTGCCTCAGGCCCCAGCTGGTGATATGTGTCTGCTCAGTAGTTCAGTCGTGTCTGCCTTTTTGTGGCCCCATGGACTGCAGCGCACCAGGCTGCTCTGTCCATGGAATTCTCCAGACAAGAATACTGGAGTGGGTTGCCATTTTCTCCTCCAGGGGATCCTCTAAACCCATGGATCGAACCTGTGTCTCCTGAGTCTCCTGCATGGGCAGGTGGATTCTTTACCACTAGCACCACCTGGGAAGACCCCGGCTGGTGATTGTTCTTATCAAACGGGCAATGAGAAGCATGACCTTCTGCTGGTTCCCCTGGTAACTAGTGAGCCCACCTGACATCAATTCCCTGTAACTGGGTAATCTCCCCTGCCCCCAGGGAATGAAGATGGGCATCGTGTCCCGGCCACTGCCCACAGCATACAGTGAGGCATCGCTTGAGGACCCCACTCAGATGTGTAAGCTCCCCCCATCCATTAAACCAGCAGTCCCCAAACTTTTTGGCACCAGGGACCTGTTTATGGACGACAATTTTTTCATGGGTGGGGGCGAGGGATGATTTCAGGATGATTCAGGCACATTTTATTTATTGTGCCCTTTGTTTCTTACATAAAGCTACCACTGATCTGACAGGAGGTACAAGATCCCCGACCCAGAGTTTGGGAACCCCTGCATTAAATGACTGATGTCTCTGTTGCTGAATCTGGGTAAGTGCAACCTTGTAGGCCTGTGGGGTGCAGCCCAACAACTCTACTACCAAACTGCTGAGAATAAAAAGATGGTAGTGCATACATTAATCTAAGTAAACAATTTCAGTGCTTCCAATGTTGGAAGATTTAAAAAGAAGATAAAATTTAAAAAAAAAACATATTCTCTGTATTTACACAGTGGAATAAGGTGTTTGGGATAACTATAGACACAGACAAAAGTACAAATGAGAGCACTAGGTAGTGTGTGCTAAGTGTCCAATGATTGATGGGTAGATAATAAATCCAGAGATAAATTTTAAAGATATAGTGATTTTTCAACTGAAAAATAAGTAGGTTAGAAAAATTTCACATGTACTGTCGGTGTTCACTCACTCAGTCTGACTCTTTGCAGCCCCATTGTTCGCAGCTCATCAGGCTTCCCTGTCCTTCACTATCTCCTGGAGTTTGCCCAAATTCATGTCCACTGAGTTGTGATGCCATCCAGACATCCCATCTTCGTTGCCTCCTCCTCCTTCTGCCCTCAGTCTTTCCCAGCATCAAGGTCTTTCGAATGTGTTGGCCCTTTGCATCAAGGGGCCAAAGTATTGGAGCTTCCAATGAATATTCAGGGTTGATTTCCTTTAGGATTAAGTGGTTTGATTTACTTGCTGCCAAAAAGACTCAAAAGTCTTTTCCACCACCACAGTTCAAAAGCATCAATTCTTTGGTGCTCAGCCTTCTTTATGGTCTAACTCTCATATCCACACATGACTACTGGAAAACCCATAGGTTTGACTATTAGTAGGTTAGAAAAATTTCACATGTACTGTCGGTGTTCACTCACTCAGTCTGACTCTTTGCAGCCCCATTGTTCGCAGCTCATCAGGCTTCCCTGTCCTTCACTATCTCCTGGAGTTTGCCCAAATTCATGTCCACTGAGTCGTGATGCCATCCAGACATCCCATCTCCATTGCC